TTTGCATTGTGGCTTAATTTGCACTCATACTGTTGATTTTTTATTTGTGTTGTGGCTTTTGCATTTGTGTTGACCTGTCTGGGCCACCGTACATTAGACCAAGGTGGTGGATAACTGCACAAAGACCAATGATGTCCATTCATAGAGAGTGCTGACTTGCAATTTTCAATGACCTGAGACAGATACCACAAAAGTTATTAAATTCAAACCTTCTGCAATAATCACTCAAAGAGTTACTGCATGTGTATATAACAAGAGCTGTAGTACTCATCTCATACCTCTGGCCACAAACTTGTCAGTGGGGCCTACCCCTCAAACTTTTGCAATGTCATTTTCAAAGGGACAGTTTGACATTCTGGGAAATACACTTATTCTCTTTCCTGTCGACAGTTAAATGAGACGATATATATATTGATGATATGGTAAATATGAAGCTACAGGCAGCGGATGGTTAGCTTAGCTTAGCATAAAGACTGAAAACAGACGGGAAAAGCTAACCAGGCTTTGTCCAAAGGTAATTACGAACTTGTCATATCTCATAACCCCCACAAGACCACAACAACTTTATTTTACACTTGATTTTTGTTCAAATCCAACAAACAAGATATAGCGTGCGCTTAGTGAGCTTCAGATGGGCTGGTAGGTAGAACGTTACCTTTGGACAGCAGCTATGCTAGCTGCTTCCCCCTGTTTCCAATCTTCATGCTAAGCTAAACTAACCATCTGCTGGTATTCATGTTTACCGTACAGACATGAGAGAGGCATCCATCTTAGTAAGACACTGAATAAGCATGTTGCCTAAAATAAATCTATTCCTTTAAGCTGCTGGAAGTCAATACCACCTCTCAGGACTTGATGGACCTGGTACCCTGGAGAAGACAAAATCTCCTCTCGCTGTGGCTGGCAACTGGGAAAAGAGCCTCTTCACTCAAAAGCAGAGGCAACACATCACAATGTATCTTGAAGGCTAGATCTATATGTTTCATTAAAATGAGAAACAGAAGCGGATCTCACAAAACATACCAGTGTCAGTCACAAACACCTCGTATTTCTGAGGCGTCACATCCCCCCGCTGCACTAGTGGAGGGCTATTTGCATAACTGTGAAAGAGCAACTGCTGACTTCAGCTAAAATACTGACAGATGGCTTTAATTCCATTAAGTGAGCTACTGTGTAAGGATAGAGTCACAGCTGATCTACAGCAAAGTGCGGGGTTCTTTTATGTTCACTGCACTGGACTTGACTGTAAAATGCTGGAGAGCTGTTGATAAGGATGACAGACAGATAACCAATCATAGCGAGAGGTGTCACGGTTCAAGAGGTCAGCCACGCAGATTACATCCCTGAAGGCCATTGACCGCACATTGAAATTGAGCTGAGAGGTTTGGCAGTTATATGGTCGCTATATTCATTACATGAAGTGATTCTGGTTCGGCATCAAGGACAGCTGGATGTAAGCAATACTGGGGAGATTATGTGCATTACATGCAGCAGAATGCCTTCACAGGAAGTTAAAGGGAAGCAGCCTCTTTATTTCATTTTTATTTGACTGAAGGTTTTCATTTCAAAGGCTGTAAATGTGCCAGATCGGAACGATTTTAGTAAACGCAAAGTGAAGGAAATGAATCAAAACAAGTGCTATGTCCCAGTTCCTCACTGCTACATGTACTACTACAGTGCTCTTCACTGTATACTGCTTCTGCACTTTCTAAGGCATGCGTTGTAAAAGTTTTGTATGTTATAACTAATGGCTGTATAGATCAGGTATAAGCCATTAATAAGACCAACATTTGGGTCATTAGGTTTTCAAAAATCGCTTTCAAAACATGGCCATTTATGTTCTATAAAGGGCTTGAGAGAATCTGCACCAAATATATTTATAGACAACTTATTGGGCACTTGGGATGGATCACCAACATTTATAACTGCAGTACTGCTGAAAACAAAGGATGAGAACCAGCCGAAGGTATTTTACACAAACTGGAAACCTTAAATTTGTTTCTATTAATGGCTTACTACTGGCCTATAAAACATTAGTAAATTATTTATTAACCACTAACACACTTCTTGGTGTACAGTATGGAATTACAACAGAGCTCAGATCAGGCTGTGTTGTATCCACTGAGGAGAGTTTAGTGGTGCTGCAACACCACTCTGTTGGTTATGTCTATATTTGTTTTTAATTGTTTTCCAGTTGATGAAGACTATCAATATATCTGTCTCTACCAGATCTACATCAGTTCTGATGGACAGAAAGGTTCAGACAGGCTGAATGTTTTAAAACTGACAGCAGACTTTTCTTACATCTAAGTGACATGGACACAAATGCTGTCTATTCAATTTCTGTCTGTTGATGGATCAGGAGAATATTTGTTTAATTTGAACCTTTTGAACATCTTCACCATATCTAAATGAATAGAGGAAAGTGTGATCCTTGTTTTCTTCTTACATTTCCCTGTCCCTGCCTCTGCCTCTTTCTGTGTACTGTAACAAGAATGACACTGACCTTCAACCTCACAGGTCACATCCAGAGAATGAACAGTTTTATAGCTGAGTGACTGACCATAAATAATCTTAAATCTGGGGATTAGTCTCCCCCCCAGCAGCTATCTCAATGATTGAGCGCTGCCTCCCCCCAGCATGTACTTAAACTCACTACACGATATGACTCACACCAACTTTTTTCACTGCTTACTACTAGAGCACTTGAACTGCTTCTTCATACAAATTCAAGCCAGCAACACAGTTTAGCTTCAGCTTGTGCAGAAGTCAGCGATCCCACTGCGTTTTCTTAAAAATTGCATTTTCTAGTGTGTATTTCTTCTTGGCATCAGATGTAACAACGGCCCAACTGGAGAAGAACCTTCGATCTTCTCATTTGTCTTCCAGGCAATTAGTGACATTGATCCAGTGTTTTGCCCTTGTTTCCCTCACTCCACACTGGTCTGCCCTGTAATGTCTTTATCCTCTCCTCTATTCCTAACATATTTTACTATGTCTTTGTAGCTGGGGTTTCAAATAGGACCTCATTAGGGCCCAGTGCTCAGGAAAGACATTTGATCCTCACTGTAAACCTCCAACACATTGTCACAAGCTCAGGGACAAAACGGACCCACTGACGACATTGAGTAAACTACACTGTCGGCTTCATTTATCTCCAAATGCAGATGTGGACGTGTCAAATGAGCAGCTGTTCTTTTAAAACCATATATTTCCAAACTTCAGTCTACAGTCTATTAAAAAAAAGGTTTTGTAAGAGACGGAATAAAACACCACAGAATTAAATTAATTTGGTGTCTCTGCATTCATATATTTTCCAGGATGAAACTCTGTTTGAAAGTTGCAGTGAATTGAATCAAAATTAAAAAAAATTAAAAAAAACAAGTTGAACCCTGTAATGAATCTCAGCTGTCCCCAAAAACAGCAAAGGGAATGTACTAAAATGAGTGGCATAGACTCAGAAAAGGTGGAGGGCTGTGAGGTTTTCATGTTTGTGAGAACAACTGATATAGTGAAGTAATTGGCCGATAGCGCTGCGGTTAGAAATGTTGGATGGGATAGTAATGGTCCATTAGTCCACCACTGTGTTACAGACTGATGTAGCTTAACAACTATATAGGATGGAATGCCATGAGCTTTTGTTCAGACATTCATCCTAGAGCAGCGGCTCCCAACCTTTTCCAACTCATGATCCACTTCAATGTCAAAAATGTTGGCAGCCCACATCCAACCCCATAACAATACAGAAGGCAAATAATGCGTTCCCAGGGCACTTTTTATTTTAATGATAATCAAACGTTCAGGACTGAACTGAAAGCAGGGGAAACATGTAGGAAGCTCAACAGTCTCCAAGTGACTTATCACAATGATACGCCTTAATAGAAGAATAGAATAGAAGAAAAAAACTATGAAATTGTATTGTTTTGCAAATGATTTGTCGGCCAACTTGCAATACCACTAGTTGGGAACAACTGTATTAGAGGATGAATCCTGACTTTGGTGACCCCTGACCTCTGTCCTCTGGAACCACCATGAGGTTGACATTTTTATTCTTTTAATGTAACGTCTCAACACCTGCTGGATTCACATGTACAGACATGTAAACATCAGCATGTTAGCGTGGTTAGCTCCAAGCACTGCTGTCACTGAATATAACCTCACAGGGTAGACTCTTAGTTTAGCTATATTTTTGAAAATGATGGCACCACTAACAGGACATGTAACTTTGTACTAAGTGTGTATAGGGTTAAATAGAAGTTGATATAATGACGATGATTTAACTTCCATAGTGTGATAATTAATTCCTTTAGTGTCATGAAGAAGTAGATTTTCCGCTTGTTCTTGTTTTGGGACAAGAAGCAGCTACATATGTGCACAACCCAGCTTCTCCTGCTGACTTCTGCAGTAGAGAGGAAGAAAATGAGAGCTGTCAGGGTCCAACTTCTCAATGATGAGTAGGAGATGGAGACAGGGCCACTTTGTCCTCCCTGATCTCAGGGCAATAAGCCTTGCCTCTCATCTCCTGAGGGCAACAAGCTACATTTCCCTTTGCTGAGCACATCTCAAAATGGCTGAGTTATGTCACCATTGATCAGTGCCAAATTTCACCACACCCCTGGTGTCTGAAGATGAGTTGGCTCCCCAGCCTTTAATCTGAAAATGACAGCTTTGTAGAGTCTGTCTTGCATACTGAAACAGAGCTGTTATATTTTATTGTGGTAAGTCTTTCCTGCTGAGTAGATAGAAGTGTCAGTGTGAGGACAGCGTTTTTAAGATTTTGATTTAAGGAGATAAAATGAAAAATGGATCTTGACATAATCCATAAAAAATGTCAGTGTGTCTAAATCCATATAGACCACAACATTTCCATTAATCTACACACAACCATGTGTGAGGAAAATATCCAACACACTGAACCTCTACCTCCCCCTGCTGGTTCATCAACGTCTCGCAATCACACACTTCCTGTGAGACTGAGAAAATGAAGACTCGTTTTTCGAAACAGTAGAGATTTTAATAAACTTTTCAATTCACAAGTCATATTGCAGCTGACATGATTAGTTTTTATATTACCAAAATCATTGAAAAATGCAGTATCATAAATATATGGCAATCTCATATATACTTTTTTGTACATATTCATTTCAAAAGGTCCTTTAGTTGCAAAAGTAAGTGTACAACCAACCTAAAATTCTGATGGAAATCTGAAAAACTCTGCAGAGTATTTTCCTAAGGAAAAGTTTTTAAATACAAGCTATCTTTATTCAAAACGGCTGTGACTATAAAGTGAAAGACTGCTTTGATCTTGATCTTTTATTGCTATAGAGACATCCTGATTATCTAATGAAGTCCACTCAATGAAAAAGTAAAATATTTTTGACATATTCAATTAAATAATGGATATAAAAAGGCAATGTTGGCAAAAGCAGAAGCATACCGTATAAGTGCATTTACAAAAAATAAACTTCCTCTGAATATTTAAAAGATACAAAGGTGACAATCTGGAGTGTGACTGCCTGGCTGAACAGTTTCAGCCAAAAAAGGAGTGTGAAGATTAATAGGAAGATGTTAAGGTTGTTTCTCTTGTGCTGCTGTCTGTGGCCAAGTACATCTTTTTTCCCCCCATTCCTCCCTCTCGGATTCAATCTCTTCACCCTCCATTTACCCATCAATCCATCTCCCCATTGATTTTTCTCCTTGTTTATTTTGTTCTCTCAGTGCCAGTCTTCATCGTCATCATCTTCTCCCTCAGATGAGTCTTCGTGGCTATCGACGTCCTCCTGCTCCGTCACTCCATTCCCATTTCCTCCCTGATGACCCGCCACTGCTGATGCTGCTGATGCTGCTGCCGCCGCCGCCGCCGCCGCCACCGCAGCCGCCTTCCTGGCCCGAGCTTCAGCTGCTGCCTGCTCCTCTTCCTCTCTCTGACGCTGCGCTGCGGCCTTCTTCTCCTGCTCGGCGTGACTCTTCATGTGGGCGCTTCGACTCTTCACTTTATAAAACACCCTAGAGCACGGGAAGAAAAATGATGCAACATTACACACAATAGCAACTGTTTGTAATGATGCAGCACGCCACACGTAACTGACAGAGGAAAATCACCATGTCTGCTAAACTGTACAGCAAAGAGGTGCATTGAATTTTAATTACACATAAATAATCACTATTGCTTCGACGCTTCAGGCCTATTTAGGGTCATTGGAGGCTAGAGTCTGTCCCAGCCTGTATAAGTTGTGCAACCATTACAATAATCAATCATGGTCCATGTGAAGATGTTGTCAATCAACATGTTTGATACCAGCTACAGTATGTCTAAGTGGTATGGGTCATTAAGGCAAGCACATCATTGATATTTGTGCTAGTTAAAAACTATAACCCAAGCATTATTACATTATAAGATTTTGAGGCCAATACACATAATGATAATAAAAGGTCAAAAAAGAAAATAATGATTTATCAATTGGTTTTACATTGACACGTCACATAAACAAACACTTTTGATAAATATCTCTTTGTTTTTTTTAAAGAATACACGTTGGAGCTGAAAAATAAACTTGTCTGTACTCTGGTGGATAAAGCATCTAATAGCGACGGTGTTTCTAAATTACCTCAAACATACTGCACATTTAGCTTTTCTGTTTCACACTGTTTGTTATGCACTGTCTCAAATTCACGGCATAACAATATATCTGCAAGGTGTTAACACCACCAGCCAGTATACAGGACGATTTCTTGTTCAAGCTCTAAATACACCATAAAAGGAATAGAAAAAGGGTGTACAGAGCAGCCAGTCAGGGCATCAGAATTCAAAAATAGTTACTATAATGAGTTATTTGAATTTGATATGATAAGAAAAACAACCCCTGCTGCCTGTTTTGGTTGTGTTTCTGCATGGAGATCCACAATATTAAGCATAAAATAAATAAGTTATTATAAAATACACATAACCATATGGTATTGTTTATTATATAACCATGAAAACCTGGAAAAAGTCGAAGAAATGATGACAGCAAAACAGAGACATCCTCTCTGCCTCTCTCTCGAATCAGTTGTAAGTGAGAACAAAGTAAATCTCTGTGCTGATTTGTTCGTACCTGCCACATTTCTTGCATGGAAATACTGCGTCCGGATCCTGCGGCGGCTTCGCTGGTGCTCTGCCCTTCTTTGCTGCAGGTTCGGCCCGAGGCCTGTGAGCTGCTGACAGGTGATGAGACTCTTCTTTGATCACCAGCACTGTTCCCGCCTGGAGCAACGAAAAAAAATAAGTAGTTTTGTTGTTGTGACGTTTTCTTACTTCATACATCAGTGGAAGTCAGCCTCAACCGGCCAATTTTCACCACTTTCTGACATTTTATCGACAAAACATTTAATTGATTCATCAAGAAAAAAATAAAAATGAATGTTAGTTGTAGCTCTAATACATAGTGAAACTCTTACATAATCATGAGCCTGTAGTGACCGAGCGACCCTCGCCTGCTGGCTACTCTCATAGCTTTGGTCGTATGAAACATCCTTCTTGTCATCCGCATCCGTCTCTCCTTGAGTCAGTTTCGACTGCTGTGAACTCTATGTAAGGAAAATACAAGTACAAATACAATACACACATTATTAGAAATTCATTTCAAAATTCTGATTTGAACATTTTAAAAGCTTAAAAACGATTATTTGGCCTCACTCGTCCCCGTGACTACAGAAAATTTCAAAGGTAGAAATTCACAAATGATAACTACTGTTTAACATATCAACATACATATATATAATTAACTTAATATTTGTAATATTTAACCACAAAAATCAGTAGAGTCAAGTTAATTCCACTCTACCTTGACATCCACCACGGCCTCCGTGTGCTTCTCCACTGGTGAATCTGGAGGCCCGAAGGTTAAAATCCCGCTCCGACCGATCTTCACCTGTTTCTTGTACGTATAGTAAAACTCCACACACTGAGCCACGGTCTTGGTCCGCACCTTTAAAAATCAGCCCAACAAACATGCACAGGCAGATTCAGGCTAGTATTCATTCACACGTGTTGTACAAGGTGCATTTGTAAGATTTTCTGACATCCAGTCATTGCTGCCAAATAATGAGATATTCCTATATACAGGACCAAAACGTATAAATTGGAGCACTGACAGACTCTGTCTCATCCCAAAGGTTCTGATACTGTTAATGTTTTTTTGTTTTTTTTTATAAAATGAAGACCACATTTCCCATAATTCCTTTTACTTCCTATCTCAAAGAGGATGTGGCTTGTTTAGTCCAATTTTCCTCTTGTTTGCACTTTTTTTTCCTTTTTTTTCTTTTTTTTTTTAAGTTTTAGCTGTGTTTGTGTTGAAAGAAGAGATGCCTCTTCCTGTTTCCAATCGTGCACATTTTCCAATAAATCTGACTCTGCCTTCACATTCAATAAAATACAGTCAGGGTCCACTAATGACTGGAAATCTTCATTTTGATTCTGATGTTTGTTTTTACCAGTTTCTGCACCAGGAAGAAGTCCTTCCTGTAAGCAGAGATCCCCTTATTGAAGTAGCGCTTCTCTTCTGCGGTCCAGCTGTCAGAGCCTGTGAGTTCATTCAGACGCATTATAATTTAATGTGTTCTTATGAGAAGGAAACATTTAAAGAGGCATAAATAAAACTAGAGAGAAAAGGACAGGAAGAGGAAGACATAAAAGGTAATCAGGAAATCTGATATCTGATATGATATATAATGAAAAGCCTTTTCTTTTAAAGTAAATACTCACCTGAGTAGTGATAACCTGCCAGGTGATGGCCTCTAGGGAAAACCGGCTCCTGGAACATCAGACGTCCCAGTGTTTCCTTGAAATCAGCATCACAGTGAGTAAATCATTCATTAACATGATCACTGTTACTCATTTCAGTGAATCAAATATTAACAATAATGCGTGTTAACGAATACATTTTAAGTTTCTGATCAAATTCTGCTGTTGTCATTCTCAGGAGTTTGTTTTCATTTTGATCCTTTTGCCGAAACCTGTCCGTGCAAACTGCATTTCAGTAAGTTGACCAACTTGTACTTACAAGAAAATCACCTCCACATTCATGTAAACAGTGTAAGACCAGCTCCTGATTGGTTCCTCCACCTCTGAGCACACTGCAACACGCCATGTTCATCAAATCCTCCACTGGGAAGAAAAAGACGGTGTCAGAGAGATGGTGAACAAAAGCTCACATAAAATACGTGACACAACACTCAGTGGATGACAAGTACAGTAAGATACTAACTGCTCTCTTGGTCACCGTATTTAAGGTGAGAGTTATCCACAGGGACCCAAACCAAGTCAGCTTTGTGCTGGTCAAACTGGGAGGAAAGTTGATCCTGCAAATCTGGAATTTCTGCCTGGTACTTCTGCCCGATATTGATACGCCTGGACAGTAAAAAAAAAAAAGTAAGAGCGGAGAGAAGAGTTATGGAAATGTTATTAAAGTTCTGTTGTTTTTAGAACAAGTACTGAAAAACCTCAGAAGCCTGTTCAGATGTTTAAGGTGGTACTCACGGTTCGAGGCTAACAGGTGTGGCATCAGAGATCAAGGGCAGGACAGGAGGTGTAATTTCTGAACTGGCTGAAAAACCCAAATAAAAAAAATAAAAAAAAGTTATTACACATCATCTGAAAAAACCTCACTAGTAGAATTAACCTCTGACTGTAACTACAGACGGCCAAAAGACTTACTGGAGCGCAACAGGCTGCGGGTCGCAGACTTGGGTGTAGCCGGCGGAGGCAGGATTTGGTTGCTTACGGCTATGTTGGTCATTAAGGTGGAGAAATAGAGTCCTGAGCCCTCGCGCACAGGAGAGAGGATGGGTGGAGGCGTGTAAGGGGGGAGGGTGAGGGGATTGTCCGGCAGACGAACTGGGGAGCGCAGGTTGCTCTGGAAGGAAGAGATGCTGGAGTAGATGGATGCAGGGATGAAGGTGGATGGTTTGGGCGGAGGGATGATGAGAGGCTCTGGCCGGGGTCGGCGCTTAAATTTGGATTTTCCATCCTCGTCCAGGCCTGGATCGTTTTCACCATCCTGGACAGGAGAAGCATTGAGGTGCAGGGATTCAGTGGAAACAATGCAAGCATTTAATTGAGCATTACTAATACACCGGTTTCTCCGTGACTATGGGTGTCACCAAATCAACCAGGACTGAAATCTTAAAAACTATACACTCACCGAGCACAACATTAGGAACACCTGTACACCTGCTTATTTATGTCATGCCGTTTCATGCCAGTTCATGTCAACAGCATGAATCCATGGAACCAACCTGCCTTGTGTCGACAGTCCAGGCTGGTGGTGGTGGTGGTGGTGGGGACTGTTTTCTTGGCACATTTCAGGCCCTTAATACCAATAAATCATGGTTTGATCTGAGTATAGTTGCTGACCATGTTCATCCATTTATGACAACAGTTTAATGGCTGCTTCCAGCATCATAATGCACCATGTCACAAAGCAAAAGTCGTCTCAAACTGTTTTCAGGAACATGACAGTGAGTTCAGTGAACTTCAGTGGCCTGCCCAGTCACCAGATCTGAATCCAGTAGAACAGCTTTGGGACGTGGCAGAACAGGAGGATTTGCAACTGACAAATCTGCAGAAATGATGTGATGCTGTCACGTCAACATGGAGCAGAATCTAAAAGAAATGTTTCCAACATCTTGCTGAGTCCATGCCACAAAGAACTTTGGAAAGAGAGACCTACCCAGTATTACTATGGTGTTCCTAATAAAGTGCTCGGTGAGTGTAACTTTAAACAGACAGAATCAAGATGCACTTTGCCTGCACCTGACTGGAATGACGCACCTTTTGTGAAGCTGTCATTGGTCTTCATTTCTCATTTTTACAACTGGACATAAATTGCTGACCCAAAAACATGACCACATTGCTCCTAAAATGTTTTCCTGACCATGACATCAGTAGTATAATGTCCATTTGCTAAATCAAACCTCACTGTGAACCTAAACGCCCACTTAAAAAACAGCTGTACATGTTCAGAATTTTATAACACTGGTGAGTCACATTATCATTAAATCCACACCCGAAGTTATCACTGATTGGCCCAGGTTTCAGCAGCAGACCTCAGACGCTCCTCAGTGGATATTTTCCAGACTGAAATATCTAAGGTTGGCTGTTTGTACTCATGACAACTGTGAGGTTTCTCGTGTAATTGTGGTATTACATTGTGGTTGCTTACAACTCACCACAAACCTGCCTTTTAAAGGGGGTCTTGAGGAAGTTACGTAACATGGTCTGTAACATGAACATCTCCAAACGTGATTTTTGTAAACAGTTCGTGGTGGCATATGAAGTCTAGAAATCACAGGGTTTCTTCCTTGTTGATCTCCCTACATACTTGCAATAATGAAGCAGCCACCACTGGTTTCAAACTGACTGAAGGACTAACCTGACCAAAACTCTCAGTCATGGAGTTTCGGAGCGATCGCCGGCGAGCCACGATGACAGAAGGTTTGCGGTCGGACTGTCCTGCAGGCCGCTCACCCTGGCCGAGTCGTCCCTGAGACCAGCCACCCTGAGGATCTATTTGGCTCCTGTGCACTGGCACAGACACAGGGATAACCAGGGGCACCATGGTGGCCTGTCTGCCCGGGGGACCGTCCTCCTGCTGGGGCACAAAAAGAAAAAAAAGGTGGGAGGATGAGGAGAAATGAGAATCGCAGGGAAATTGGGGAAGTAGCAGGGAAAATGGAAAAAGGATTAAGACATAAAAAAGAGGAAGATGGGGGTGAGGACACATGGTCATCTACACATAAAGGCTCATTTTCAGATCACCTACAACATTCGTTTTCATCTTCATTGAAATTCATATGTTGTGTAATATAAGAAATTACATCAGGGCTGCAACTAAAGATTTTTTTTTCCTTGTAGATTGATCTTTTGCAATTTATTGTTTAAACAATGAACTCAAAAAAAGGGAAAATTCCCACCACAATCTGAGAAAGCCCAAGGCGACATCTTCAAAAGCCTTGTTACCCAAAGATATTCATTTTATAAAGGGTAAGAAAAGCTGCAAATTGTCACATGTAAGATGCTTTAGCCAGTGAATATTTGGCATTTTCAGTTGATTGAAGGGTAAACTGATTATCAAAACTGTTATACGTTAACTTTCTGTCAATGAACTGATCCATTGATCAACTAATTGTTTCAAAATCAAAATCCTGAAGCAAATTATCACCTTCTTCACTATAAATGCTGAATTCACTTTGCAGAAAGTAGATTTTGACTCCCTACAATTCAACAAGCTTAAAAACTGCAGCAGTCTTTGTCAAATGTAGCACGTTTTATTACCACCATATATCTATTCAGAAATGTTCACGCGCACGTGCCTCCCCGGTACCGTGTCTCACTGATTAAGATGATAACATTTCCAGCAACCAGATATTCTACTAGGGGCAATGAAAGATATAAATCAGTTTTTTTTACGATTTATTCTTCGGGCAAAGTGAAGAGCCACAGCTAAGACATGTGAATCTCATCTCCTAACCCACAAAAGTTCTGTTTGCCAAGCACAATGTGACACCTCTGGGTTGTGAATAGCAATATTAAACCTGTTTGGTGTGTGTGCGTGTGTGTGCGTATGTGCGTGTTTTATTGAGTATAGGAGTGTAGCTGTGCAGGTTGACAGCTCGGCCCCTCCCTGGCTCTGCTGAATGACTAGGAAAGAGCCTGAGGAATGTGGAGGTGTGCAGACATGCAGCTGCTCCAACTGTATCCATCATGCTCATTCTGCACAAAACCCTACGAACAAGCCTGGTAACCCCCC